ATCTTTCTGCTTCTGTCAGTAAGGAAAAGCAACTTGCTTCAACATGCTTGCAACAATAAATTTCCACATTTTCTGTAGTCAGATTTTTAAAATATGCAATAGTAGTGTATATTATGTAAAAATGACCACATATGCAAATACTTCTTTTCTCAACTTCTAGGATTTAAATGTTTGGAATTGTTCACCATGACCACCTCAGCATGAAATAAGAGATTTAGCAAGGGTGAAGAATGAAAACCTCCTTTTATCACATTCTACTCTCAGAGTTTAACCCCAGTTTTACAGTTCAATCCTACCCCTAACTGACCAGCACAAAATATGTTTCTTTCAGTATTAATGCTACTTGCTGCTCATCCTTATTTTGGTTCTGAAGTACTCCCTGCCTGCCTAATGGGAAAGTCCATCTACATTTGAACATCTGTTCTCAGAAAATACATGCCATTATGTATTAGTTATAGGGTTTACAATTTAAACATTCCAGTGGAACAGCACTGAGGCTGAGAAGAATAAACTGGAAGAGCCTCTTGGCTCAGGTATCCCAGGAAATGCATATGCAATAGAAGAATCCATTTGTTATTCACTGGGAAAGGATTAGCTTTCATTTAACAACAAATATATAAGTGTAGGTGCTGGAATTCAGAATAAAGAAAAATGCATTAACTGGGGGGAAAAAAAAGCTACTTTTCTCATTATTGGAGTACTATAATCATAGTTGAATTCAGTATGTACAATGCCCCTTGATGGATCTTGTTGAGTAATTTTGTTCAATAAGAGTCTGTCAATACAATTTGCTTTCAGATGTCAGTTTATATAATATCAAGGATAATGGGCTCACTCAGGTGCACTTGGAAATTGTAATAAAATATTAATTTTGGGCAAAAGAAAACTGTTAATCATCTAGTTTAGTACTCTACAATTATGCATGAATTTTTTGAGGAGCTCTGTGGAATAAATGTGAACATTGTAATGTGTGTTAGACAAAGAGCCATAAATAACTGGGCAGTAAAACACTGAAGAGGGATATCCTCTGTAGAATGTGCTTTTTGGTGAAGAGGAGTCCAGGACAGCAGTGAGCAAATCACTCTATATCACTCCCAGTTTCTGGAAGGTAAGTGCACTCTCAATTACTTGCATGCAATATATTTTTTGAGGTTCACAAAGGTGGGTTGTTTCATCAAGCCAAATTTCTTTGCTTCTATTTTTCCTACAATGTCAAGGAGCTGGATAGATAAGACTCAGAAATTAAGTTGCAGGAAATAACTGATGGCCACACTTCATTAAAAAAGCCACATCAGGATACTTCCACAGAAGCTCCAGAGAGGGGAACAGGGGCAATGATTCAGCTGCTGACCACAGCATGAAGAGGAGATGATATCCACAGAGGGGAGCTCATGGCAAGAATAATTTTGATGGTCCTCTCCTGCTAATGCAGTTTGAATGCAGAACAGCCTGAAGGAGAGGTTTGGCTAACAGAACCTTTCCATGGTCACTCATAGCCTGGTACTCATCTCCAGCTCTGGTTGACAGAAAAACTCAGTGGAGGAGTTTAGCTTGAAAGGAACAGTAGGAGAGGTATTTGTTTTCCCTTTTTTCCTTCCCAGCTCAGCCAGCTGAGCAATCTCTGGCTGTTCAAAGACAGCAGAGCACAGTGAAGCTTCCTGCCTGTAACTTCTGTGAGCATTTACACAACAAACCCTTCACACAACACTTCAATCAGGAGCTGCAAGAGGAGCGAGCTCAGAGCTTCCCCAAAGTGGAGCAAAGAACAAACAGGGTGTGTAGCTTGGGAGAGAATGTGAGGAGAGAGATGCAGCTCTGGCAGTTTATAATCTGGCTTTTCACAAGGGGTGTGTGTGTGTGTCATGAAGGAAGCTTCCCCAGCTTGTGCCAGCATCAGTGTGATGAGGAGTGTAAATGCTAAGTGGTTTAAGAATTCTATTTAATATATGCAAGGCTATCACTTGACAAAAAGTACTTATTGCTCATGTGAATCCATCTGTCACTGCAGACCTACACCAGCTAAGTCATGTCAATTTGTGCTGCTAACAGGTGGAATAACAAGGAATGAAGTAATTTGTGACATAAATGATAGCTAAATAAAAAGGAAGCTGTTGTCTGCAAATGGACTTGTTTTTGCAAGAATCTAAGATAAGTTTTTCAGGCCTGCTTTAAGTTTTGCTTCTGGTGAAAGCAGTGACAGACTTTTGATGTAACTATCAAAGATAAGCACTATTGCATTAGAAGTTATGTCTAGGCTTGAAAACCACCTACATTTGAGACAATCTATTTACGCAGAAAGACATAATGCCCCGTCCCAGCAGCATAAATTAATCTTTAAATTGGATAAATGAGGATACCTTTGACATAAGAGAATTTCTGCACAGTGTAAAAGCTGAATTACACAAAACTGAACATCAGCTGTCAATGCAATGGTAAAAGAAATACACTCCTCTCAACTACTGAGATTAAAGTAGAAAGGGAAAACAGGAAACCAACAGCTGCATGGCCCTGCCAAGCTGCTTTCCAGAGACTTATTTATAGAAACCTTTCTAGTTTAGTTCTGTGTTTCATTAAAACATCTGTGGCAAATTTTGTAGAAAAAAGAGCTAAAAGCATTTTGTCTTTAGTTAGAAATAAATTTTCTGAGTATTTGGAAGGGAATCTGCCACTTAGCTTGAGTTAAAGGTTTTGGTAAATAAAAAGCATCTCATTATCTTTGTTCCTAATGACCCTAATAGCAGAATAATGCTGGCATTTTAAGTTTCCCATGTAGTTAAATTAACTGAAATCTTACCCATAACCAATATGTGAAACAATTAGGTTATAATTCTGCAGTTATTAAATGTTAAGTACCTCTGTTAGGCTTATGAGAGCTACTGTCCAACACAAGCCCAAACATCTCCACTGAATCATGCACAACAAGAGACTCAGTTCTATTACATCCCACATCAGCACTACCTTGTCAAGATTTGTTTTCATGGTTTCTTTTAGTTTGTTTTTTTTTTTTCCTCAAAAATGTTTTGGATTTCTTTTTTCTCACATGTAAAGCAAAGCTGCTTTTAGCAATTTAGAAAAGGAAAGGACATCCCCTGGTCATCTCTGATGAAAAAAGAGGCAATTCAGAATTCATACCATGATTAATATAAATGTAAATATGATAAAGTAAAAAAGGAAGAGTTAAATAGTAGCAGTACAGGTAAGATTGTTGAGATGCAACTGTTAGCAGCAATTTTTGATCTGCACTGCAGAGCTTCATGCTCCCTGATCCCCCACATGCATTCTTTCTCAAAGGAACACATCTCATCCATTGGATTTATCCCAGTTCTTCATTGCCTCTCAACTACCTGAAAATCTTCCCTTTCTCTGGGGTTGCTGCTTTGTTTGCTTTTTCGTTTTTGGTTGCTTTTGACGCGATCAAACAACAGCATTTATCTCCATTAATTTGAAATGATATCTGTTCCGCATCATGCCATTGCATTTCCATATTTTCCCACTTTCAATGTTTCACCAGATTGACTCAGAATTCTTAGTAAAAGATATTTAACAGGAAGGAATTATGAATGAGCTTCATTCAACAAACTACATTTAAGAGTTTTAAGTCCATAAGACCAAAAGCTTTACAAGTACTCCAAAAAACAACAGTCCTGAGGATCTTGTAAAATTAACTTGTAGGTAGGGAGGGAGTTGAGAAGCCACTTCATGAATTTGAGGCCATTTGTAATTTAACAGAACCAGTGGGATGCTCTACATAACACTGTGTTCAAAACAGAGAATTTTATGGGGCCTGCAGTATTTTCTGCTCAATAGTTGTTTAGTTACAGGTGCCACCTCCTTGTGATGCTGACTGCCACAATTCCTAAGGGCTGTTAAGCACTCTGAGATATCCCATGGAGAAAAAAATATGGAAACTATTTCACAAACTGTTGACAAAAGAAACCCAAACAGTCATAAAAAAAGACATCAAAGCTGCTGAGACACTTCTATTCGAAGAAAGCAAAGAAAGAAATAATAGCACTTGAAAGAAAAAGACAAGTAAGAATCATCTTGTAATTAGAATTACTGCAGTAGATAAAACGGGGCACAGAGAATTACAAGAGTTTCTTTTGTATAGCAAGTCAGTAACATTATGTAATTTTCCAATTTTCTCCCTTTTTTTACCGGATTTTTTTTCTTTCAAGAAAAACTTTTAAGTAACACTACAGATAACACAGGATGTCCAGAAAAGATACCAGCCTGATATTAGCCCATGCACAGGTCCATTTTTAAACAAAAATATGCAGTTTGGAAAGGAACTTTGATTCAGTTTTAACTATAGTTGTATATATTTACCCTTCACTTATTACTTTTGATGCAAGATGGTGTTTAATGGCTTCAGAAGAGAACGGATAACACAAGTGTCTTGGAAAGGAGCCCTCTAACCTGTCCTCACTTATTTAAAGAGAATTACAGAGTTCAAATCATGGTATAAGTTACTAAAAAAAAAAGAAAAAAAAAAAAGGTGGTTTTCATGAGATACAACTTGCAGCTACCAAAGCACACAAATGTTTCAAACACCAAATTAATATATTATTAAGTTTTCCCTTTCCAAATTTGTTTTTTTCCCATGTTTTAGCGATGGAATATAAATTTTTAGGGAAGAGTCAGAGTCACACACATTCCAAGATTTTAAAGTTCTCCTTCTTTGGTGCACATGGACATGCTTCATGAAATGGATGATTAGAGGATACCAGGCCTTCTCTTCCAATACTTAGGTTGGCCACTTAACTGCAGAACAGTTTTTCTCACAATTTCTCCTATACATTAATTCAGGAAAATGGCTTGTTCCCAAGAATTTATTGTCTTTTCCGTTTCCTTTTGGTTTAGCTTTTTATTGGAAGGGACATCTGATCTCCCTGTCTGACAAATACCAAATTTGATTTCCCTGAGATGTGTGGAGAGATGGGGCAGAGAGTGAAGGAAAAAACAAAAACTGATGTGTGGGAAGAGACTGGAATACCTACCAGAGGAAATGCTGGGGGGTAAAGATCCACCCCCTGCCACTGGATGAGAGGCCAGGATGCTATTTAAAAATCCCGCCCTCAGGAATCTGGAAAGAGACTTCACCCCAATGGTCGGGAAGGATCCTTTCAAAGAAATAGAAATGATCATTAATCAAATGGCTTGTTCTCTGGCTGACACAAGAAGCTGACTGTTTAAAGAAAGAACAACCAAATCTCTGCAGAGTTAACAGTGGTTTCATGGGAACAGATCTCATGAAAAGCAGTTAAAAGCTTTTGTTTGCTTTTTAACCAAGTCATACAATACACAGCTTTAACCAGAAAAAGGTTTTCTGCATAGTTTGCAAATGGAGAATTCCATCTAGAAAAATTTGGTGTTTCAACATCAAATTGCCCCTGTGGTATACTCATAATACATTCCAAATGACTCCACCATAGAGGCACGTTACAATTTTGTGTTCAAATCAAAGACAGACCAGTAGAGGTGAGGCTGTATCAGCAAAGCTGTTTTACACCAGTTTTTTAAAGCCACTTGACAAAAGTCACAAGGGGCAAAGGTGAACCAGAATTTGTAGCTAAAACACTGAATTCTGTGTCAAGGCAGCTCCAGCAGTCATAGCTTCCTTCACACCTCCCAACACCTGTCAATGTATTGATACAGGCAAAAACCAGGTGTATGGATAATGCCTAAAGATTTTTAGCTTTTTAATATATTTTTCATATAATTGCAACTTTTGATTTTAGGCAATGTGGACATGGCCCCTTTCTGCTTTGCTGTCACCAGAAGCTCAACACATTTTATGCTTTCACTACAATAAACTGTATATTCTTCTCATTGCCTACATGTATGGTTTTAATAATGGAAACAATGATTATCTCATCCACCTCTTCTAAAACAAATATTTGTGACAAATCTACTGGTGAGAAATGAAGATGCCTTAGCATTCGATCCACTGTTTCAGCTTTCAGCATTTGTACAGAGATCTGCAGACATCATTTCAACTTCCCCATGTTAGTGCTCAGTGAGTGCCAGCATCAAAGATGGATCTGAAATGACAGCTCTGCACCTCTCACTGAAAAGCACAGGGTCAAGATTCTTCCACCTGGCAATAAATCTAAACTGACAATCAGAATAATCTGGGTATTTTTGCAAGTGCATCAAGTAAGCATCCATCCAAAAAGTTAGGCAATGGCAAGTTTGTTTTCCTCACCTTGCAGGTACTTCATATTTGTTCTTTTAAGAGATAGAAAGCATCTTGATTTTTATAGACAATGAGAAAAATAAATGGCCTTCAACAGCTGAGATTTTTTTTCCATTAATAAAAATACATTGAGGAAAATTTACCCTCAAAACACACATGCACTTGCTGAATTTAAAGTAGCCTAGGAGAGCTTTGAGTTTTTTACTTTTGTTTTCAAGCAAGAATTCTGATGTTTTCCCTCAATCCATCTGTCCTTTAAATTTGTTAGTTAGTCATGCTGCAGTCTGTGGAAAAATAATTAATTTAAAATAATTAATTTAATTGATCTAGATGCAGTGCTTTTATATCTGATGGCTAAAGGTAAGTTTTTCCTCTGGACACTCAAGAGAAGTCTCTGGCATTCCTATACAAGTGTTTCCATATTCCATGGCTTTCACTTTAAAATATTTGCAGAAGTTATCCTGGACAGACAGTACAGAATGCAATACACAAAAATTCAATTTTAAAATGGAAATTGTTCCATTAACCCCAAGATGTTTGCTACTAAACAGCATCTTAAAACATAAAGGCTAAATAATGAACATATGAAGACTTTCCAAATAGAAAATTGCTCCTGTTTCAAAATATGAATTATACCAAGCATAAGGTATAGCCACTGAGTCACACACCATATGTACAGACCTTCAGAAAAGCCAAACAGCTTCAGCTTCACCAGTGACATTTTCCTCTATTTAAATGCTGTTAAATGGCAAATAACTCCAGTTTCCTAACCCTTACAATAAGTTAGTTTGTTACACAAAGTCATGAAGACAACCCCAAATTTATTTCACTTATTGTACATATTCAGAAATAATAAAAAAAAAACCAACAAGGAGCAGTGAATTTTAGAGCTAATAAGTCTATAAATACTACGACTGAGGGCTGAAATTATTGAGGTTTTATAAGCAGCAAATAACTAAAAGAATACATATAAATACCACTTTTCTCTCACACTCAAAAGTCAGGGTTCAGTTGCTTAAGTGTAAATGCTTTGTGTCATTTGAGATGCTCTAAAAAATCTGAGACATTCCCAGCTGAGTGGCAGACATGACACGATCAGCAGGAGATTTCCACTCTGGAAGTGGCTGTGAGAGGCAAAGCAGCATTTGGATATTTAAGAGGAGGCACTGAGTGTCATTTTAGGCAACTGAATCCCATCTCCTGTCACCTCAGAAATGTCTCTGACTAAGCAGAACTGAGTCACTAGAACAAGACCTCATTTGGTCTCTTCTAGAAGTCCACAAACACCTCCTGAAAAGGACAAGGTTGGTGACATTCAGCCCTGACCAGTATCCATCAACAAAAAAATGCAGAAAAATGAGAGATTAAAAGTTCATGCAAACATGCCCAGCTCTAAATTAAAATACAGCCCCAGGATGAACTTTTTTTCAGCCCCAGGTGTGCTTTTTCATCATGTGCACAATGTGAAAAGGGTTTGAGACTTGATTATGTGATTTTATGTTGGGAAGGTGATAATCACTGCAGATAAAGCAAATTAATTCTTGTTAAGCCACATCAATCACCACCAGATGGACAGAGCTGTGATAAGAGCTTTGGGCATTTACAGTAGTTTAGAAGTTACTCAAACATTTACTTGTTTGCATAAACATTCAAGAAATATTTGAATGAATGACACAGAATCACAGAATGTGTAAGGTTGGAAAGGACCCCTGGAGTCAGCTAGTTAACCAGATTTCTTGAGAAATTATGTGAAACTATGCCATTCTGTCAGTCCACATCACACAGAGACTCACGTTTCCCACCACTTCTGCTGTTTTCTGCAAAAACTCATTTTTGCAGTGGGTGCACTCACACTGATGGAAAGATCTTTCAGTACAAGATTCTAAACTGGGAAAAGGAGGGAAGAATATTAAGCCATGATTCCTCAGTGCCCTCAAATTCTATTGCTATTTAGCAGTTTACAATCATGGATTTATTCAGGAGAAAACCCCAACCTCTCCCTGCTCCACACTTACACACTATGAACATTGAGTCACCTTAACATGGGAAACCAGGTAAGTTACAATATTAGTTGGAAAAGTGTGTTGAACTGTAGAAATACATGGAAATACATGGAATAGCTGATAGCTCCTAAAGTATCCACCACTTTCTGAGCCCTGTGATACCACGTTAGAACTCATTGTAAATTCTTCAGTTTCACAATAATTACAGCTAAGTGCCTGAGCTCAGAGGCCGTGGGGGAGTGCTGAATCAATTAGCCTGCCTTCCACCTTCAGTTGTTGCTCCTGGGGGAATATCATCCCACAAACTGTGGAATTTGATAGGGAAGTCGCTGCTACAGCATCCTAAAGTGGCGTGGGTTTAAGTAGGATATTATCCCCCTGAGCAGAAGGGCAGGAGAAGGTGGCTGGGCACAGGAAATCCATTTGCTTAGTTCAGCTCCAGGGCACTGACATTAATTCACACCCATTTATTGGCACTGTGTGCTCACAGCATGGCCAACCAGGAGGAACAGCCACTGCTCCCAGCCCACATCCCATGGCCTTGCACCAGTGACAAAACTGTTCCCTGCTCTTTGTCACTGCTGCTTTTCCTTATTTATTACTATTATTTATTATTATCGAGTATTTATTCAATATTTTCTGCAGGTGGAATCGACCATTTCATGTGCTGTGTACTTCTGAGCATCTAACAGCCACAAATTTAAAAGCAGCTCTTTGGCTGCTTAATTTAACAAACTGGATTGAGAAATTCTAGAGAGGTCACAATTGCCCTCTTCTATTTGTTTTTACAAGCACCATCTCTCTATTGGCACCAGCAAAAGAACACTTCAGTCTGTTGTTCCCTTCCCACAGATTTGGTTTGGAAAAAAAAGAAAAAAATGCAAGGGTGGTATATTTAATGTAAAAAAATCCCATTGCTATTTGTTTCTATACAGTCAGTTCTCTTGGTGCTTTCCATACAGGGATTGTTGAAACCCAACTAAGAGAAAGTCTCAGGAACTCTGCAGATGAAGGCTTTGGGGAAGGGAGGGCTGTAAGGAGCTTTGGCATTCAATTTGGCAGGAAGCAACTGGCTGTTTTCACTCCAAACTGCGTTTTCAGGCAGGGTGGGCTGAACATTTAGTAACAGAATTCTGGAGGACAGTATTCAGAAAGTTTTCCTGCTTCTGAAAAAGGGAATTATTCAATTTTATCACCTAATATCTGAGAGAAGACTGGCTTCTGTTAGGAGCATTTCCCATTCTAAAATAAAACCTCATTTTTATTGTTACTAGTGTTTCCTTGGGGAACTTAGAAGCATTTTTTTCAAAATTATTTGAAATATATCCATTATGGAAACTACTGAAAACCAGCTGACTTTTCTCTCACATGATTTTATTGATTTATCCTTGCTAGACCAGCAGGAATGGCACATTACTTCATAATCTTTTATGAGGGAACATATGGAAGATTTTTATAAGGAATGGCTTTATAAAACTTTGAAATTATGATGTCAGATTACAATTTTTAGAGCACTCAAAAGGCTTGACTTGCAATGAAAAAAAAATCAGAAGCAGGAAAAAAATTTATCCTTGATGAATTTGTTGGATCATGTTTTCAGTACATTTAGAAAACATAAACCTTTTTCAATGCAATAATATGGAGATTTAGAATATGCCCTTATTTTAGAGCTTTTTTTCATGAAAGCAAAGGCCGATAGAGTGGTATGCCTAAATTCTTACCTGAATAATTCATATCTCTTAGAAAAAAATCTAACTTTCAAGATCACTAAATAGTATTTTGCAATAGACATCACAAAATATTAAAGGATCGCAAAAATTGACAAAAATTAACCCCTGCTGAAATCACAGAACACAGAATGGCTGAGTTTGGGAAGGAGCTCTGGAGGCCACCAAGTCCAAGTGAATCATAGGGAGATTTC